CCTTTTTAAAACCAAGCCCATCCACTCTTCTTCTCTGGCCTGTATTTTTTCCCAGGCAAGAGAAGAGGGAGCGAGAGCCAGACTGAGAGCTATGGGTGGTGTATTCAGGGTGTGTGATGTGCAGCTCTGCCTTAATTGGAATGAAAGGCTTCTTTGCAAACTCACACTCATACCTGATCTTGGTTCTTTGCCAAAAGTTTCTGTTGCAGTAATGACTAGCAATGAGAATGAATGGTCCTGCAGCACCTTAGAAACTAACAAAAATGTAGATGGTATCTTGGGCTTTTGTGGGCTCAACCCACTTCAGATGAATGGAGCAAGGGGTCCAGAGGAATAATTAAGTAGCTGGAAAAGAGGGAAAATGGGGAGGGAGGGAGAAAGGGAAAGAAAAAAAACCAACCTTGTCAATTAAAATGTTACTACTGGATGAGGCTAAAAGAGTGGGCTATAAATGCCCAATATTTAGCATTTGATGTCATTAGGGTGTTGAATATAATAGCCCATCAAGTTCATGTCTTTGGTCAAACTTTGGTCAAATGTGTCAGATTTGTAAATGAAGGCAAATTCTGCAGCTTCTCACTCCAGATGGTTTTTGAAATTGCTTTGTAATAGTACAGCCACTTTTAGATCCATTAATGAGTGCCTGTGATGAGGTTCAGCCAGTATTTCACAGGTTTCTGCGAGCCCCCATATTGCTCCATCGTTGGGATGGGGATTTTCTATTCTACATGGCATTTTGGACCTTTTAAAGGGTCTAAGAAGTGTGTGGGTAAAAGTGTAGATGAGTTTTCTCCGTATGGGTTACTTTATCCTTAGTAGTTGCTGTTGAAGTCCTGATCCTGTACAGTGCTCAGTAGCTCCTGCAAGATGCTAAGCTCACTAGTTGTTTGCTTGATGCTTTGCAGGACGGGGCATCAAGAGAGTAAAAGGGGTGAGAGATTTCCTTGCATCCAGGATTTTTTTGAAATCAACACTTCAGACCTGCTACTTCCAATAAATTGGATCCTGTAGGTAGAATAGCCAGCCCCCTGTGCATGTGCTGGCTAGTCAGGCATGCATTCCAGGCTGCTCTGCCTTTCCTAGGCTGGGGAGGCGGCTGTCCTGAAGTTCTCTTGGAGGGGTAAGTGAAGAGGTAGCATGGTGTTGTGGGTTTGAATTCTGGGCTAGAAGCAAGGAACACTTGTGGGTTCCCATCCTGGCTGTGCCAGTGGTTTGCAGTAGGACTTTTGCAATGTCATTTTACCTCTGTGTGTGAAAAGGTTGCGTTGAGCAGTAATTACCTCCTGTAGTGGTGCATGCACATCTTGTCCCCAGGGAGTGGGGGGGAAATCACAGGGATGTGTGCATGGGTGGTAGATTTGAATATTTTTTGGTGGTACCCCATTAGCCACGCCCCCTGACCCATTAGCCACGCCCCCTCTCCATTAGCCACGCCCCTGGAGGTACGGACACATGACCAGAAGCAAAAGGTGTCATGTCACCCCTCTCAGAGGACTTTTCCCACCATCCTTCTGTCACATTACCGGAGTTTAAGGGAAGCAGACAGGTCATGCTGCGCCCATGCGGGGGTGTTTGCCCCAAAAGGCTGGGTCTACACTGGCGCAGTCTTGCGCCAAAGTGGCCGCTCTGGTGCAAAAACTTGCTTCCTGTCTACACTGGCCGTGTATTCTTACGCAAGTATGCTGACGTTCTCATGTATGAAATCAGTGCTTCTTGCGCAAGAACTATGATGCTCCTGCTCAGGAATAAGCCCTTTTGTTCAACTGTTCTTGCGCAAGAGTCCAGTGTAGACAGTCAACATGAATTTCTTGCGCAAGAAAGCCCTATGGCTAAAATGGCCATAGGCACTTTCTCGGGCAAGAGAGCATCCACACTGCCATAGATGCTCTTGTGCAAAAGCATAGCTCGCACATGGCAGTGTGGACGTGTTCTTGCACAAGAAACCACCAGTGTAGACATAGCCTAAGAGTTTCCTCACATGAGCAGAATGAATTTTGTGTTGTGCACCAGTACTGATTTCATGTGGCTTGTTTGGATGTGCCACTGTGGCACCCAAGTTATTAATAAATATTTTTAAACTTTTACCTTTTCTCTCTGCTGCCATGTCTCCTCCCCTTGTTCCGTCAGCTCTCCTGGTTCCTGCTGCCCCCTACCCCCCAACTCCTCACTCTCCTCTGCTGTCCTGACTCCTTCTGTTCTCACTGCCCTCAGCCCTCCTGAGACTTGCCCTCCTCCATCAGCCCTTCTCTGCCCCCTGTTCCCACCCTTCCAGTAGCCCCTCTCTGATCATTTGAGCTACCCCTCCTCATCCCCTCTCCTAACACCTCCCTCTACAAACCTGCCCTGTCTCTCTCCTTTGGTGCTGGTCTCTCCCCTGCAGGTGTCTGCCCTTCTGCTTCACCCCAGAACCCCTGGCACCTGCACCTTCCCTTACCCCTGAACCCTCCTGGTGCTTCCTCCTTCCCTCACTGCCCCTGCCTCCTTTCTCCCTGATGCCTATCCCCTCACCACCTTCTGCCCCATTCATTCCCTCCCTCCCCCACTCTCATCTCTGGGTCCCCGATGCGCCTCCTTCTGGACGTTTTTTCAAAGTGGCAGCTGAGTGGTAACAGCAGCCCTGCCCAGAGCAAGCCCCGGCAGTAACCTGCCTGCCCATTGGTTGGACGCCAGGCCCTAGGCAATCGCAGCATTG